GTGACATCCCTGCTGTAAGTTGCAATATGTTTTGTATATATATGTTCTTAATTATTCTTCGTTTGGTGAAACTCTCGCGACACACGGTTTGAAAACCACTGCTATATACCCTTTCCATCTAAGCTGAATGTCAAGAAAGTATCTTCTTTATTTATTCATGTAATCATGTTTTTTTCTTTTTAAACCACACGATAGTTTCCAGCATGTTGATGAATTATATATATATATATATACCTAAACCTATATGAATTTACATCAAACATTGTCTATCTGGAAGAAGAATTTGAACTTAGGAAGACATTTTTGTTGAAACTATTTTACTTGCAGTGCTTACTGTTTACTTACTTCTTTCAACGGAAGAAAAATAAAATTTTAATGTTTTTAAATATCGGTTTTCAAAACAATTTCAGCAACAAAGACTGATAGAATTAAAATCTTACTTTAGAAAGTTTCATTATTTAAAAAATATAATAGATAGAGGTTTTACCTTTACGTGAAATTAATAATAATTAGAAAGATGATATAAAAGAAGAACGACAAATCATTATTTTCACAAACGAAAGGTTATATAACGTAAAAAATATGTATCTTACACGACCTACTGGGGAGGAAATAACTATGTTAAGTTGGAATTCACATAATGTTATTTATGTATTGTCCTGGAGTTAATATAAATGATAGAGAAAAAAAATGTAAGGGATTTTGAAAAGGAGTTTAAAAGCTACTTTCGAAAATAAATCATACAATCACGAAAAAAAAGTCAAAAATTGCTAGAAACAGGGTAGCCCTTTGTGTAGCTTTGTGCTTAATAACAAAAAACATCAAGAGAAAGAAATCTGATAAAGGTATTTTTCCATGCATTAAACCAACTTTTTATGCTTCCGGAGAAGGTTATATTACATAAAAAAATATATATTAAAGACCCTACTGGGGAGAAAAAATATTTTTCCGAAACTAGATTGAGTTATAATTCATATAATGTTACTTATATATTATCTAGTTTTTATTAGCATTATCTGTTAACAAACACATTAATAAGTATGTGATGTTGTACATGAATTATTTTTCAAATATTTATATTTTGTTGTTCTTTTCAAAAACGTAAAACATTATTTTATGAAAATTATTTTATTAATAAATCTAAAATCACATTAAATGTTACACAGTTTATCACACAGAGGGAGTTCAAAATATATATACATCTAAAGTTTTGTGGTTTAAAAAAAAAAAGCTATGAGCCTTTTCAATGTTAAGTAGGTCTTATCAGAAAATGGCTTACTTTAGAAACGGAATAGTATCGTCGAAGATACAAAACCAGTATTTATTATTTTCTCTATGTGTGTTTTTATTTATTTACTTTAAATTAATAATAATAAAGAGTTTTAAAATATCCAAATATATATAGTTGTAACTAAAATTTTATTTTTCGCACAAATATATTTTTAGATTATTTTTGCCCTAACATTTTACCAGACTTCGAGTATGGTATCTTGATGATGACTTGTTTATTTTCTGAAGCCATTTCGAGTCTCTTTCTCTGGTTGTTTCTAAAATACTGTAAATTGAATGATTTTGAGTGATAATATAACAACGAAATATTTTTTTGTGTAATATATTTTGTACGTTTAACTATTTTAGGGTTATGTAAGTAACAGTAACATTTGGTATTACTCGTGGTTCGTGTAAAATCTTAGGCTTAACAATTTTATTCGATGCTAAAATAATATTAAGTTGTTCATGAAATATCTAAACTACAACTGATAATTAATTATTCATTATTAGCGAAGCATTAAAGTCACTTTCATATTAAACATATTTTGTTTCTCCTTGTGGTAATTTAACAATATTCTAAAGCTTTGGCCAGCTAATTTTAATATATCTGGCGTTACTATGGTTACAACCTATGACGTTCTGTACGTTATTATAAGAGAAGCCCAACATAATATTTTCAGTTTGTTTGACACCAACTGTATTTTACAATGAATCGTTCATTCTGTCATTTACGTATATAATCTGAGCATTAAGTGTGAGGTGGAACAGCAGGTTGACTATTTCTTTACATTGAAAGCTGTCCAAGAAAAATGATATCTCAGGAATTATAGAAATGTATCTGCTAACGTTGAGGTTGAAATTTAGGATGTTCTCTTAGGTTTCCACATTAAAAACAAACTATAGCGTTTGCTAGAGTTATATTTTAGTTACTACCAGTGTTTGCTGCAAGAATAAGTAAAATATTAATATGTAAAAATGATACATGTGAATTAGGATAATTGATGGGTTTACAAAATAAAAAATGTACAACATTGTCTCATCTTCATCTAAAAATAAGTTCACACTCTTTAAACGGACTAGCAATAAATAAATTCACACTGTTTAAACGGACTAGCAATAAATAAATTCACACTGTTTAACGGACTAGCAATAAATAAATTCACACTGTTTAACGGACTAGCAATAAATAAATTCACACTGTTTAAACGAACTAGCAATAAATAAATTCACACTCTTTAAACGAACTAGCGATAAATAAGTTCACACTCTTTAAACGGACTAGCAATAAATAAATTCACACTGTTTAAACGGTACTAGCAATAACTAAATTCACACTCTTTAAACGGACTAGCAATAAATAAATTCACACTGTTTAAACGGACTAGCAATAAATAAATTCATACTGTTTAAACGGACTAGAGATAAATAAATTCACACTGTTTAAACGGACTAACAATAAATAAATTCACACTGTTTAAACGAACTAGCGATAAATAAAGTCACACTCTTTAAACGAACTATCGATAAATAAGTTCACACTCTTTAAACGGTCTAGCAATAACTAAATTCACACTCTTTAAACGAACTAGCGATAAATAAGTTCACACTCTTTAAACGAACTATCGATAAATAAGTTCACACTCTTTAAACGGTCTAGCAATAACTAAATTCACACTCTTTAAACGAACTAGCGATAAATAAGTTCACACTCTTTAAACGGACTAGGAATAAATAAATTCACACTGTTTAAACGGACTAGCAAAAAATAAATTCACACTGTTTAAATGGACTAGAGATAAATAAATTCACACTGTTTAAACTAACTAGCGATAAATAAATTCACGCTCTTTAAACGAACTATCGATAAATAAGTTCACACTCTTTAAACGGTCTAGCAATAACTAAATTCACACTCTTTAAACGAACTAGCGATAAATAAGTTCACACTCTTTAAACGGACTAGCAATAAATAAATTCATACTGTTTAAGTGAACTAGCGATAAATAAATTCACTGTTTAAACGGACTAGCAATAAATAAATTCACACTATTTAAACAGACTAGCGATAAATAAATTCACTGTTTAAATGGACTAGCAATAAATAAATTCACACTGTTTAAACGAACTAGCGATAAATAAATTCACACTCTTTAAACGAACTAGCGATAAATAAGTTCCCACTCTTTAAACAGATTAGCAATAAATAAATTCACACTCTTTAAACGGACTAGCAATAAATAAATTCACACTGTTTAAACGGACTAGGAATAGATAAATTTACACTGTTTAACGAACTAGCAATAAATAAATTCACACTGTTTAAACCGACTAGCAATTTGACAACTTTCTACACTTACTGTATTTATATTTACGTTGTCTCGAGGAATGTCAATGATTTGTTTACTGTCAATAACTAAGTTGGTCATGACCATTATGTTCTGACAGCGGGTGTGCAACTCTTTCGATAGAAAAAATGATTGTCACACCACCTTTTGGCTCCATGTTTAGCTAAATTTAGCTGAGAAAGCCAGTTAAGGGGGTTACAACGATAATACCAGATATGCCACTAGATGGCACGGTTGTATTATAGCGGAATTAATGGAATGTGACATTTTTTTACAAATAAAAAATAATAATAGAACTCCACAGAAGTGTGTGATTAACTTTTCACTTGACAGAAGTTTTCTGAACCTTTTGTGAACAACATATGAAGATGATAACGTAATAATATGCAAAGAGTTAAGTTCGTTATATTAAAACAAGTTTATATATGTCATTGAGAAATAACGTCATAACCACAAATAACACGTTTTCGTTCTCTGTGTATAAAAATAAACAAACACGTTTTTGCCATTTTTGGTAAATAGTTCTTTTTTTTTACATCTTTCTCGTGTTATACTCTATTTTAATCACTTCCAGTCGAACGCAATGTGTCAGGACTACATTTTTACATTGTTTGGCTTTATGTAGGTACTGTGATACTACCGAAAGCTGATTGATTTTGGGAAGAATATGCAACAGCCCCTTCCAATGCAAATATATTCATTTAACACTTGGAAACAATGGAATATGGATCAACTTGGGGTATCAGGATCATCTAAAACGAGATCTCAAAAAAGTCGTACCCAACAAACATAAATGTGAGTGGCAAAAGCCGTCAACGCTACACACACACACAACAGTATGCAACATAATCAAGAATAAACTCTTTGTGAAAACGAGGCCAAGTTTCTTCCACTATGTATACGTTCAAATGTTGCATACCTTAAGTAGCTTGAGAATAAAATGGTATTCATACTATTCCAAACAAAGACATGCTGGTATTTCTTTCTCGTTTACTGGATTAATGGAAAACAGTGCAAACTACGCTGTAGGGCTACTGACAAGATGCATGGCCATCAGATAGAGCATGACATGAGGTGGTAACGTGGGCTGTAAATGCGTGGTGAGACTCCATATCGCTGTAATATAACACACTAAACCTCTGTACATATAACTTTGGCCTGTGGATATACGTAAGATTGTGTGTTTCGTAATCAGTGTATATAAAATAATATGTATTTAGATTTTGGTGACAGTACCACTTAAAAAACAAACTTTATGTAAAATACATAAAAATATTTCTTTTGCTAAGAATATTGTGTGACTTACAGCATTTCAAAAACTTATTTGGACATAATATAAGTCGACATAATTATTTTTGCTTTTTCCAGGAGAATCAAAAAGACGTTAGGATGGTTTCCAATGACATCCAGATGTCACTGCTTGACACCCTCCAATTAAGGAACTTTAGTGATCGCAACATAACATGGGAAATGGCTTCTAACAGGTCTATTCGAAGAGGTCTTTACTGTGAAGAATGGGAAGATGCCCAGCACGTGCTTTTCCAGGTAGCCAACTTGTGCTTTGCAGCTGCATTTCTTGTTCCCCCAAAATTCCGGCTCGCTTTGCTACTTATGCGGGGAGTTTTAACAATTGGGTTCCTTTTCGTCACATTATGGGCGTGTGTAAACATCTGTGCACCTGACATCTTTGCATGGAATGTGACGTTTATGCTGACGAACTTTTGCCACATCCTTTTTCTGACGTATGTCAGCATCCCAACTCGGATTCAACCAGAGATGCTGGAGCTGTACAACAAAGTCTTCACTCCTCTGAAAGTCGAGAAGATGAATTTTAAAGAGTTGGTAAACAGCGCGAAGATCTTGTCCCTGAAGCCAGGAGAACTCTACGCTTTAGAGAGAGTAACTATAGCTGGCAAACAGCTGTCTATGCTACTCAGCGGAAAGTTAGTAGCTATCCAGTTTTTTCATCATTAGGTTTACTTCTTGACATCAAGTCTTCATCCTCAATTTTATTCATTTACTTCATCTTTTCATCATTTGCTTACTTTTTCATCTCATGTTTCACCATTGTTATGTCTCTTTTCTTCATCTTTAGTTTCATCATCATCACATATATTTTTCAGCTCAAATCCTTATCAGCAGGTTTATTCCTCCTGGTGTAGTCTACATTATTAAGTTTATTTCTTCATCTAAGGTTGATTTAATTTCTTACTTTATCGTCTTAATTCTTTAACTTTATTCTGTCAATGTAACCAATCCTTTTCTGCTTTAATATATAGTTCTATAACTACGTTTATGGACATGTTCACTTCATAATAATTGTCCATAAATAACTGAGCGTGAAAACCAGGTTTATAGAGAGAACTGGTTTTAATTTTCAGTCAGTTCACCCTCTCGAAACAGTAAGTCCGATAAAATTTACAAATTTATTCAAGAAAGCCAGGTCAAGTGTAACCTAGCGGTCAGCGTGCCGGACTGTGGAACTGAGGTTCCTTTACTATAACTGTAAAAAACAAACAATACTCTTGCTCCTCACTTTGAGGATGTAAGAGTGAGGATCAAATCATATTTTTCGGACCGACAAAAGTATCCAAAGAGTTGGCGGTGGGTGATGTTGACCAGTTGCCTTCCCTCTTGTCTATGAGTTCAAAATTAGGGACATAGCCCCCAGTGGCACATCGGTATGTCCACGGACTTACAACGCTAGAAACCGGGTTTCGATACCCGTGATGGGCAGAGCACAGATAGCCCATTGTGTAGCTTTGTGCTTAACTTCAAACAAACAATTAGGGACAGCTAAAGCATACAGTTCTCGTGTAGCTTTGGACAAACAAGTTAACAAACTCTACTGTTATTTTATAAAATATATGCAGCTTTAAGAACGAAAGAAATATTAATGTTGAATTGTTATATTTCTTGCAGACTTTAACACAAAAATCTTGAATAAAATGGTATTTTTATTCCAAGTTATAACTTTTATTCATTAAAATATAATTTAAGCCGTTCACTAACGACCGAGATTTTACTTTCCAGCTATTACTTTTTTTACTAATACAAGGTAAACTCCCAGTTTAGAGACTTAAGTGCAAGTTAATCCTTTCAACACCAGCTGAATCTGTACAATGTTATTCTTGATAGCTCTAGAGTCTAGACGATTTTTATTTTGAAGACAAAAACCCTCACCTTTGGTTAGGGCGCTCGACTCGCACTCTGCGGATTGCAGGTTCGAATTCCCGTCCCAAGCAAACATGGTCGCCCTTTCAGCCGTGGGGGTGTTATAATATTACGATCAATCCCACTATTTGTAGCCCTAGAATTGACGATGGGTGATGATGATTAGCTGCCTTTCCTCTAGCGCAGATAGCCTTCGTGTAGTTTTGCGCGAAAACAAACCTTTTAGAAAAGGCAAATAATTTGTATTTAAATTAATTACGATATCTAGGGCTAGTTTTTAGTTTAAGCACAAATCTGCTCAATGGGTCATCTGCGTTGTGCCCAGCTCAGGGATAGAATACAGAATTTTGGCGGTTTAAACTTTCAATCTTACAGATCTGCTCAATGGGTTATCTGCGTTGTGCTCAGCTCTGGGATAGAATACAGAATTTTGGCGGTTTAAACTTTTAATCTTACAAATCTGCTCAATGTGTTATCTGCGTTGTGCTCAGCTCTGGGATAGAATACAGAATTTTGGCGTTTCAAACTTTCAATCTTACCGCTGAGCTACCGGGAAGCCTATGTGTATAGAAAGTGCTGGTACTGTTTTGTTGAATTTAATGGAAGGTTTCTCGAGGGCTATCTACACGAGTCGTCCTTAATTTAAAAGAGAGATATAGACTAGATGGAAGGCAGTTACCCAACACAACCCCTCAGATTGACCCTAGCATTATTATGCCCTCACGGCTAAAAGGATAAGCACGATCGGCGACGGGATTCGAACCCACAGATTGCGAGTCGACAGCCCTGACCACCAGGCCATGCCAGTTCCAGAAAGTGTGACTTCTTCGTAAAGACAGCTCTATCATAAATTCAATAAATGTATTTAGTAATTTCGAAAACCTTCCAATTCCAATCTCATCTAAATTTTTTGTTTGTTTATTTCAGAATTTCGCGCAAGTCTACGTAACAGCTATATTTCTGCGAAAAGCTTTCCCTGGTTATGAACTATGTATATACTACAGGGAAAGCAGCTAATCAAGAGCTCGCTCCTACCGCCAGTTCTTGAGCTACCGTTGTCTCATATAAAATAGAATTTGATCGTGACTCTTGTAAACGCATTCACGGTCTTATATTTCTGAACAAATTTTTGCGGCAACGTTTCACGAATAACAAATTCTCATATTCAGAATCCAGGCACGCTAACTAAAAGGCCATGCCCAACCATCTTCAAAACGACATGTAAAACATAAAAATAAATCAAACGGGCAGGAAAGGCTCGGTTCAGTTAGTTATATGTACTGTATCAATTGGAGGGTATTAAACAATTCAGTGTTGTCTACGAAGACTGTTAGTTGGAGTTTATATATATATATATGTGTGTGTGTGTGTGTGTGTACATCTATATCAATAATGTTTCAATACCATAGCTGCTAAATTAGTAGTATTTTGTTGTGTGTGTTTATGTTGTTCCCGTATAATGTGTAATAATGTTTCATTTAATTATTTCCTGATCAATTGCCATATTCTCTTTACTTCTTTGATAGTTGTCATT